AGGGCGGCGGGGGCGGCGGGGATCCCCGGGGTGGGGGTCCCGATGCCCAGCCCGCTCCGTCACGGCACGCTGGGTGTCAGCGCAGCCGCCCCCCGGGCTGCTTTAACCTGCTCGACATGCGAGGAAGCTGATGTCCTCAGGAGAGGCACGTGGGGTGCGCGGCAGCCACGGGGTCGGGGGGACGGCAGCGCCCCGGAGCGCCGGGCTCGGGGAGCAGGGCGCGGGAGTGGGCCGATGACCCGGGGCTCGGGCAGCAGTCCCGCCATCACGAGGCTGGGGCGTCAGCCCCCCACGGAGCCCCGCTGCCTGTGCACACACGTCTTGTGTCTGGTCTCGCAGCCGCGGACGAGGCTTCTGGGGACATCGGCCAGGAAGACGCGCACAGTCAAGGGCCATTGGCCTCTGGGTCAGCACAGGGAAGTCCCGGGCCCCCTGACTTCGGGGAAGCGGGGCAGGGGAGGAGGGGCAGAGATCTCGGCTCGGGAGGTCAGAGCCAGGGTCGGGCCCTGTCTGCTCCGCCTGGACGTCCCCAGCGCCCGGCGTCCTCATGTTGCTCTGTCTCGAGTCATTTGTCAAGCAGTCGAGAGACCCTCGTCCCCTGAAACGCTCCCGCTGGCTGTCTCCTCAGATGCCCTCTGAGGCTGCTCAGAACTTCCGGCCTCCCTGGAAACGTCCCCAGCTCTCCCGAAATGCTCTCTGGGTCATCCCAGAACAGGACCGCGGCCTGGCCCCCCCTTTGTTCCCGTCCCGCCATCTTCCCGAGGTGCCCTGGCCTCCCTCCAGGACCTCGGGGGACTGCCGCAGCTTCTGCCCTCCAGGGCCCCGCCTTTCCTGCTGCTCAGAAGCCTCTCCGGGCCCCCCAGGCCTGGGGCCTCCTGCGGCTCGGACGCTGCCCCCCAGGTCGGGCCCTGATCGTCCCAGGCAGCAGGACCGAGCTCGGTCCCAGGGGAGAAGAGCTCGGGCTGGGAGGCTGGCAGCCCTGACCAGCGGTCCCAGGTCCACGGCTCACTCACAGGGTGATCTGGGGTCAGTCAGACCGAAAGCCGCACAGTGTCCTCATCGGAAGCCTGGGGTCAGCACTGTGCCAGAAAGGGCTGTGAGGACCGGCCAGCCCTGCGGCCGCTCGGGCCCCCTGTCCCCACTGACCGGACATTCTCTGCTTTGCTTCTCTGCGTGTCCACTCTCTGCCGCCCTCGCTGGTGTCGGCTCCGCCGCTGGGGCTCGTCCAGCACTGACGCCCAGGGCCGAGCCCCGGCCATGCACGGTGGGCTCCATGTATCTGTAGAGAGAATAACTCCTGGTCCCGTGAGCTGAGAACCGTCATCCCAACTTTACAGATGAGGGAACTAAGGCCCGGAGAGCTGAAGCGGCTTGTCCGAGGTCACACAGCTCGGATGGGCCAAAGTGGGGTCGGAACCCAGCACTGTGGCTGCCAAGTCCAGCCGTTGATAATTGTGCCTGAGGGTCCCTCTCCCTCCCGTCCCGGCCCCTGCCCGAGGCACGCCGGCAGCAGAGGCGGGAGGCCTGTCCCTCTTTCCCGAAGGACTTATGATCGTCCGTCCATTCGATGGGCGTTCGTTCATCGAGCACCTGCCTTGGCTGGGCCCTGTGCTGGGCCGTGGGGCCGGGCGGCGGGCAAAGCCCCGTCCGCGCCCACCTGGTACTCACGGCCCGGTGGGCGAGAGTGATGGGCAGTGAGAGCCGGAAGCCGGTGCTGAGAGGGGGGCCACGCGCTGCGATGGGGACTCGGGGAGCGGTGATGGCCATGGGGCACCCCTGAACCCCGCAAGGCAGACCCCGACTCCGGCTGGGTGGTTCTGGCAGGAAATGCCAAGGAGCTCGGGGGGATGTGGCAGAAGCAACCAGGGAGGCTCCCTGGAGGAAGCGGCCTTGAGCTGGGTCTCGAGGACGGGGAGACCCCCCCTCAGGGCCCGCCCCGGGTGTGCGCGCCTGGGGGGAGCTCAGGTCGCCTTCCTTTCAGAGTCCTTCACACCTGACCACAAGCCCCTGATGGGGGAGGCGCCCGAGCTCCGAGGATTCTTCCTGGGCTGTGGCTTCAACAGTGCAGGTGGGTGCGGGCGACAGCCCCCTACCCCCGGGCCCCCGTGGCCTCTCCCGGCGGGCACTGCCGTCCCCGAAGGGCGTGGAGACCGGAGAGGCCACGGGGCGGGGTGGGGTCTCATCGGAAGGCATGCAGCACCCCAGGTGTGAGGTTCCAGGCTGGGGGGGATGCTGCCCATAGAGATGGGAGGGGCACTGAACTGGGGTGGGGGGCTCCGGGGATGGTTACAGACCGATGGCCGCACCCCTGCCAGGGATGATGCTTGGCGGCGGCTGTGGCCAGGAGCTGGCCCACTGGATCGTCCATGGACGCCCGGAGAAGGACATGTACAGCTATGACATCAGGTGAGCAGGTGACATTAGGTGAGTAGGTGCCGGAATCCGCGGGCAGGGGGCGTCCGCTGGCCAGCTGCCCTGGCATTGGGCGGGTGGGGTGAATAGCGAGGGCTATTTAAGAAGGAGCCGTCCCCGAAATTCAGAGGGCTTCTTGGAAGAGGCGGCAGCAAGGAACAGGGAGGAAGGCTGCCAGCAGGGGGCAGTGCCGTACGGTCTCCGGGATCTCTCGTCCTCAGGTCCTACCTGGGGGACCAGGTCCTCCCACCCCGCAGATGGGGGGACCGAGGCCTGGGGGCGGGGCTGAGCTGCAAGGACCGTAATGGGCATGCGTGTGGGGGCCGGGAGCTGGGCGGCTTTGAGTGGAGATGCGGCTGCTTTGCTCAGTGGCAGAGTGACCGGAATACGTCACACCGGTCTCGAGCAGTGTCCCCCAGCGGTGCACGTGCTGGGGGGCTGCGTGCAGGTGACACCCTCAGCTGCACACGGACACCGAGCCAGCCGAGCCGAGGCGGGGGGGGCGCTGATGTCGGCATTGGGAGGGTCCCCCGCGGCCTTGCTGTTCTCTGCCGGTCAGGCCGGCGCCAGCGATACAGGCCAGACAGGTCCGGAGGCCGGGGGTCAGGGGGCCAGGGGCTCATCCCCAGGTGGGACTTCTGAGGCAATAGCTTGGAGGGAGGGACCCCCCGTGGGTGTCCGACCTTCTCTGCTGCTTCCGTTGCTGGCAGACCCCAGCTGAGGCTGGAGGTTTTGGGGGGGGCGAGTCCAGCTCAGTGTGCCCCGATCTCCTGCTAAGCTCATCCCTTCCTGGCCCGGAGAGGACATCACACCCACCGAGGGGGATGTCCGGCCCCCACAGGGACAGACGGACAGGCACAGAGATGCCCCCTATGGCCACTCCCTCCGCGGAGCCAGGCACAGCGCGGTCTGCTATGCGGCTGCCTGGGAGTCCACCTAGGGCTGTGCCCGTGTGTTCTCCCAAGAGAGGAATGTTCTAGAATGATGAAGCTGCAAGGGGCCTCGGGGACCGGCCGGTCCAAGCCCCTCCTGCTGCACACAGCAGACAGGAGGCGCCAACGGGGGCGGCGACTCACCTGAAGTCACCCGTGGGCCAGCCGGAGCGGGAAGGGATCCAGCTTCCGGCTGCGCCCCCTCGGGGCGAGGCTCCAGTGCCCGTCAGACAGACTGGGGCTCACGCCGGCCTCCCCCGCGGCCTCCCTGTGCCAGTGTCCGAGACTGCTAACGGGGCTGGCACAGCGCCCCCTCCCGGGCTGGGGGAGGGCTGCAGCGAGTCAGGTGCTGTAGGGCACGCCGCAGGTGGCCTTCGCCCCTGGCTGGCTGAGGCCCCCAGGCCACTGAGGATCCCCTGCTCAGCTGGGGACGTGCTGGCCTTCTGTCTGCCGCCGGCCCTGGCAGGAGCGCTTTGTGGCTGGGAGGCAGAGGGCACCGGGAGGGAGCCCCTGATTGCTGAGGCCCAGAGGGTAGGGCCAGGGGCAGCGAACTCATCCGCACACTCTCCTGGCTGGGGCCGTGCGCCCCAGGAGATGGCCGACTAATGGCCTCCCGGGCCCAACCAGTCACTGATGTGGGGACTTTCCTATGTGCCCAGCCCCCGACTGGGCGGCTGGACGGCTGCCCGCACCCACTTGGGCATCCAGCACTACTGAGCGAGGGGACAGATACGCGACAAACCCAGCCGAGAGGTGGGAGATGAGGGGGCGGCTCAGGGTGTCTCCAGAAGCCCGAGGGAAGGGACAGAGCCAGCGCGGCGTGGGGCTCCCCTGTGTTGTTTTTCCCGACGGTCAGAGCAGGAAGGAGTCGTTCCCATCCTCGGGAGGACAGGCCAGCTGAGGGAGGTGCCTGGACAGGCCGTCAGCCCGGGGCCGGGTCCAGGGTGTGTCTGGATCTGGGCTGTAGGTGGGACTTCTGGGGCCGCCCGGGCACCAGCTGGCCCCCAGGCCACGGCCACCGCCTCGCGTGGTGGGGTGGTGAAGCAGGTGTAGACTCGGCTTCAGGCTTCTCGGCCATCCCAGCCCCTCCTCCTCCCAGCTGTGTGGCCCTGGCCAGCCCTCTCTCCTCTCTGAGCCTTGGTTCCCCGTCTGTGAAATGGGCAGAGTGTGCATGAGGCTCCTGTGTGTGGACGTGTCACCTGGCGTCTGGCGTGGGCAGGGCCCGGAGTGCGGGCTGCTGTTTGTAGGAAAAGTCCTCAGGTCTGCGTAGGGGGACTCAGCCCTTATTTAGGTGAGGAGGGCGGCTGGGCCCCGGCCCCGGCCCCAGCGCTGCCCCTGGCTGCCGGCTGCCAGGTTTATCCCCCTGCTGACCCCTGGCCGTGCTCCCACGGGGCTGAGCCACGCCCCTGACACCCACAGACATGCGGAGGGCAGCAGGTGTCTGGCAGTGGAGGGTCCCCAGCCATGCCGCGGCCCAGCTCCCTCGTCTGTAACCTCAGTCCCCACGACCCACAGGGCCTGAGGAAGTGAAAGAGCCCCCCGAACCCCCTCCCCGGGATGCGCGCTCTCCGAGCGGCTGGGAAGGTCACCTCGTCCCATCCCTGGCGAGCCACCTGGGCTCCTGGGGCCTGGGGCCGAGTCTGACCACGGAGTGGACTCTGTTGCTGCAGCCCACCGCGCACCCCGCTGCTGCCTCCGGGGTCCCCCCAGCCCCCTGGCCAGGCTCCCTCGCTGCCTCTCCTGCAGCGTGTTCTGGAAGCTGCTGGCTTGGGGTAGCCCCGGACCAACCTGACGGGGTCCCTGTGCTGAGACGGCCAGACCGTGGGCCCCACACATGAGGCTCCTGCACGAGGCCACGCCGAGGGGCGGCAGGGAGGGCTCCTGCGGGCAGCACGCACCTGCACTGCGCAGCCACGGTTGCTGGGGACAATGTCGGCCACACTGTCCTGAGGCCGCTCCACTCCCCTGCCTGGTGGGAGAATTGTGCTCGCTACAACTGTGCAAACTCAGAGCCCGTCAGCCCTGGCGCGGTTCGCACAGGAGGCCGTGAGGACAGAGCCGGGGAGGAGGTGGCCTTGAGGAGCGGCCGGCGAGAGGCCGGCAGGTGGAGAGAGAGGGACGGGGCCAGGGGCTGGGAGCTGCGGTCTGCAGGGCCCCCGGCACAGGGGGCCAGGCGTCTGACCCCAGCCCTGCAGCTGGAGGGGGGCACCGTGCATTTGGGGGGCTTGCAGGCGAGGAGGCTGAGCTCACCAGGGCCGGGGGCTGCCGAGGCCCCGGGGAGGTGGAGAGCCAGGGCTGCCCGAGCCCCAGGGAGGCGCGGGGTGGAGTGGGGAAGGGTCCAGCTTTGCGCAGGGGCCTTGGCCGGCCCTCGCCCAGCAGGCCTTCGGGACAGTGACCGGCCTCTCCGTCTGTGCCAGGCGCTTCCACTGCTCGCTCACGGGCCACCGCCGCTGGATTCGCGAGCGCAGCCATGAGTCCTATGCCAAGAACTACTCCATCGTCTTCCCGCACGACGAGCCCCTGGCCGGCCGCAGCATGAGGACGGGCCCGCTGCACGAGGTGCCGCTCCGGCTGGCTCTGGCCGCACTGGGGCGACGGGGGCAGGTGGCACCCCACCTGCGGGGCGGCTGAGGTGATGAGGTGGCCCGTTCGCCCCCGGGCGTCCACTGGCAGGGTGCTCCGAGCACACCCCTGGGCCTTTCCCGACACGGGCAGCAGGGCTTCTGAGCGGCAGGGGCCCGGGCGGCCGTGCGGTGCCCGCCCCTCGCCTGCCCAGCCCGGCCTGGCCGGCTCTCGGATGCTGCCT